TTGGAGTGAACGAACCGGTTGACTGGATAATCAATCGTAATCGGATCCTGTGCAATACCGGAGATGCAATTCTGAGCGGAGCTGGAATTATGTAAATGTTTTAATCAGTCAAACAGAGAGGGGGAAACTGCACTCTAGTTCGCTTAGAAGTTACAGGGCTCCGAACTCATGCAATTCTGCATCAAGTAAACGGACAGTATTAGTTAAAATGCAACAAGCATTTACCCCCCATTTTCACGCCTCCTGTAATTCTTACACCAGTATTTTTCGTTTGCCTTTTTCGAATAGATCAATTCATAAAACGGTTGTTTCGCAAAACCGGACAGTAACAACGATGCCATTAATAGACAGTTGACATAGCCAAAGAAACCGTAAGATTACTACCCTCCATGAGAACTCATGCAAGGTTGTTGTGGACGTATCCCGAAATCTGGACGGATCGCTAAGTGTCTTGACAAATTGCGTTTTTTCAAAAAAAAAAACCAAATTTTAGTTTCATTTCGGGATTTGTCAAATAGGCGTTGATTACATTGCGATGTGTCGAGACACTTCGCGACTTGTTCAGATTTTGGGATCTGCCTACAGCATGGTGATACCAATAACCGCTAATTCCTGCATACTAGACATAGAAACCACCACAATCACAGATCAAAGTCAGCGAAATCACAGCTTGGTGCTAAAAACATCGCTATGATTTTGCCACAATTGTTTGCAACAAATTGCCAGGGATAGAAAAATTACATTAAAATCGAACACCTTATAACTTATAAAAGATGTGTTATGCGGATAATCAACAAGAGACAAATGTAAACATTTTAAAAACTTATAATTTATTGCGTCATGAGGAGAAATAAAAAGCTTCAACGTTTATTTCAAAAACTTATAGTCGAAAAATATAGTACAAATAACTTTTCGGCAACTTAATTTTCATTACGATTTAAAATCAGGCTAAAAATACGACAAAAACAGTTTTGGAATACAGTGAACATAGAATCGACCCTGCTAATTTGCAACATGCCGAATGACTGTTATGCCGTGAGGCATTGATAAAAGTGTCGCCTAGTGCAGTGAGAATGTCTGCCCAAGAATCCATCTGCTACAAGAACCTACTTTTCTGCGATTTGAAGCCCAGGCAGTTTGCCGCGTCGCCTCAACTTGCAGTCGTGCACATCATATTTTCTACTATATGTATAAAATCATATGTACATATGAGTATCGCGTAACGCCTGCTAACACCTGAGGCGCAAAGCCCCTCGAAGGGTTGAGCCGCGAAGTGGTCAAGGGACGTCCCCCTTATTTAACTAAAATGTTTGCCGAGATCGCTCAATCTTTCGGAGTTCGGCAGTTGTCGACAATGCTCAAGTGGACCTTTTTAAGGCCATTAGCCGGCAGAAAACGATGCTCCTAGCCGCAATCATCCTGTTTAAAATTCCTGAGTGCGTAATGAGAGGCTTGATGAGCAGACTAATTGTCAGTACGTACCCGACTCCGTCCGTTCCTCTTCACTTCAGAGTTCAGTGGGTCAGTAAATTGCGCGTGCTCGGGAGAATTCGCCGTTCCACGCGACGCGAAGATGGAAGCGGCTGAAACGAAGCCAACTGGGCTCAAAGACCAAACAAACGAAAGATTCACGGACGAAACCCACCATTATCTCGTCGACTCTAAGTTTGATACTGTTCCCGCCGCGGGGCAAGTATACGGATCCGTTCTAAGGACATGACAAATCGTCACCTTCCGGCCAAAGTATCACAAGCGCCATGTGAGGTTTCAAAATTTCCGCCGCCATTTTATTTTTTACAGAGAAATTTTGTTGGTTGAATCTGTTTGAAAATTTCACTGACTTTCATCGGCACCACAACGAATGTTCAGCGAAATTTTCGGACAGCTTCGTTGAACGATTTCTCTGCAAAAAAATATAATGGCATCGGAAATTTTTAAACATCGCATGGCGCTTGTGATTCTTTGGCCGGGAAGTGACGAAATGATATATCGAACGAGCTTTAAGCCAAAAAATAATTCAGCGTTTTCAACTACCTACATGATTCCTTGTGCTGTTGCAAGACATTCTTTCCAACACATCATAAATGTAAACCGTTTACAAATTTCCTGCTTTTCACTCATATTTGAACGAACATTATCTGCCGTCATATTTTTCAAGTAAAGTTTAATCCAGTTATCAGCATTTCTTTCTGAGAATATTTCGCACGAGTAAACCAGTAGTAGATGCGCGGTGTAAGATATTTCAAATGCGCAGTATGACAGTGCAAGTAGTTTTTTGGAATTTCTGCACCTCTCTGTAATTTTATTATTTAAATTCCCATCCAAAGCTTTCACTGTTTCTGAATAATAATCAGTATATTTTCTAAAGGAGCACAAATTCCATTTTCATTATGATTAACATAAGCAATGGCAGCACCTACTCCAGTTTCAGCTCTCGTTCACTCTTCTACCTTAGTTACAGCAGGAGTTTACTTAATAATTCGGTTTACATTGCATTCGGATTGAACTCGGAATATCAGAAGACTAATTCGGCCTTGATCCTTTTTCTTTTTTTTTTTTTTTTTGGTAACATATTTTATTTGTTTCTTTTATTACAAATTGGAATGGGGTCGACAGCAGCCCCACCCGAAATGGGAAGATTCATATCATACAAATTTGGAAGTGCTTGACAAATAGTAAAGGACACTATTTATCATTAATCTAGCATTACAGTTTGATTTCTCATTACTATTAAAAATAAATTTTCTCTTGTATTTAACTTATTATATCTAATTGTGATTAAGAATTCAATCAAAATTACTTAAAATACTAATGTTACCGCCGGAACCATCCTTACAGATATTACATTGGGGAGTAATATCTAATATAATTTCGGGTCATTTATTGATAATCCTTTGGAAAAGTGCGGGTTCTATTTATTTTTAGTTCAGTTATGTTTATTTCTCTGTGAATTTTTTGTCCGGCACAAAAGACAGTTCTTGTCGTAAAATTGGCAGGCTCCACAGCGGAGTTACACATTCGGCGCAGAGAACAGGAGCGAAAAGCGAATGGCCGATTCGAGACCGGGACCAAAGCCACGTCCAAGCACGTCCACGCTTGCGGGTGATAACTTACAGTCACTTTCTCCTCAAGATAGCATCTCAAATTCTTCAGGTTTACATCTCCTCACTTCGGAGAATGAAGTAATAATCTTTATGAATCGTTCCGTCATTTCATCAAAAAATAAAAGAGCTTTATAATTGGTAATTGTAATTATTATAGCCCGTCGCATTTTTTGATTCGGATCGTAGTACGAGGAGCACTGTACTTATTAAGGCAGTCCCTTACCGTTTTACGGCTGCATTTTCACTGTTACGGCGTTTTAACGTAATGCTTAATGGCTACTAATTGAAAATGGGCTCAAGCGTTTGTAGCTTGAAAGTGAAAACGCTTCCGTTTTCTACGTGAAATTAGAGTATTTTAACGAGCGTAATGTGAGACTTGACGGTGTGGGATCGCTGAGGTATAACACCCAACTTGTAACTTCAACTGACTTCAATAGGATTTGCTTTTTTTATTAATAACGGAATGCCATTTAATTTCACGGTCTCAGTCGGTAAAGCTTGCGGTTAAGACTATAGCAAGCAAAACTTCGTCTTGTCATTTGCAGGGACAATTTTGGTTGCTACTTCCATGACTTCGAAGCGGAACAAACGAATACTGTCGCCGTGTTTAAACCATTGAACCGTGCATTGAATTTTCTCAGTGTATGTGGAATCCTCCGAGAGAAAATGAAATATTGCCTTGGTCACTGCCCCACCAAGTCACAACAAGTTAAATATCAAAATCATTTTCTAAAACAATTTTTTTCCTTTGGTTTAAAAATGTATGATGTACATATATTAGAGATCATTATCAGAACTAAAAACTAAATGATAAAATCATCAACTAAAACAATGTGTCTGCACACTAAAATCCACATCAATTCGCATGAAGCATTCGATTGAAAGCATGCCAAATGGCACACTTCTTTCTGTTTTCCTCAAAACTTGGATTTTAGCACTTGGGCTTTGAAGAAAAATATCGGTTAAATTGCACATTAACTTCTCATTACAGGTTAATACAAATAATTTCTCTTATATTTCCTGTTCTCGAACACACTACTGTTCGCAGTAGCCGTAGATATACGCTTACTTGCCTCGCCAAGTGCAGTCCTTTGCAAGACTTGTATGGTGTCAATTGTTCCATTCAAGTTTGTGGACTGCTGCAGGTATAAACGTTTCATTCTCCGGAGTTCGGTACATGTGATGTTCAAGTGCGGGTCATTAGCGTTGTTTTTAATCCGCGCGAAACACCAGCTCAAATGAGTTACTTTAATTCAGCATTCACCACTAAATGCAGTGTAGAAGTCTCGGTTCAGCTAAACAGATTAAACATCTGAAAATTTTTTATACGCGACTTCTAGTCCACATAAAGTCGTGGTCCATGTAATGGAGAATTTGCACGAAAGAATTTCATTACTGCATTGAGAGAGCTTAATGACCTCCACTCGTAGTATTTTTCATGATTTTTTTACGAAAAGGGAAATTGTAGAAAAATAGATTTACAAGAGAGAAAACCTTCCATGATTTTTTTAAGAAATGGAATATTTTACAGAAAATTAGATTTAAAAGTGAGAAAACCTGCCGCTTTTTGACGTCATTAGGCATCACCCGTTTAAATTTAAGTATTCAAACTTAAAATGCACGTTCTCTAGCAGATTATACAGGTTATTATCATATCTCCTGTAATAATCGTTCATTCCAGAAACCATAAGTATATTATCATCCTCAGTTCAATCAATAGTTCTTTCTTAAACATGAAATTCAAAAAAATTCAGACACCTGTAAATTCTCCATTATAACATGACCCGGTATGGAACACAAATTCCATCATATACCTAAAATAACTTTTCCTGTAATAATTTAAATTTATGTGATGTCAAGGTTAAGCTAAAATGGTATTTCTATCTCTGTTTTCAGCGGTGTTTCGTACTACTCTCGAATGGAACTAGTTTATTGGAGCGTCTGATTTTCCTCAGAATCCATGATGAAAAACCCAGATTCTCAAAAGAGATGATGGCGGCATGTGAAAGAACCTCAAGAGGTACGTTGTTGATACCCATGACACCTTATACAAACTTAATTCCATGCTGATTTAAACTTACATTTTTGCTCCTAGTGTCCTGTGTAAATCCTCAGTTATTATTTTCAATTTTTCTGTGCTTAGCTGCCTTTTCCGATTGTTTTACGCTCTCCATTTCTGTATATCATTTGGTGCGATCATCATTTAACCGATTTAATTCCAAATATGGATATGTGACACTATATGATTGGTAACCGGACTCATAAATTATTATTGGCCCAACGCATTTAGATACCCCGTGTTTTCATAAATTTGAAGCCAAATGCAGAAAGGTATTCGAAGCACGTTTCTCTAGAATGCATTCTTCTTTTTGCAACGCAGTCATCATGCCTAAGTATACCTTCTCTTAGATTGGAACAACGTCCACGTTTTAAGAACAAAGAAGGTCCTATAAGTATGTGTAATTTGCATCACTTCACAATAATCAATCCATTTTTTCAAGAATTTATGCGGAGAATCGGTAAATTCGTCACAAAATCATCAAGGGTTATTTACCCCTCAGTGGTGATTAGTCATTTGTTCTAATTATTTTTCCTGCCACAAGTTTTCGTTATTCTTTTTTCCCGCACTCGGTATTTGTCCCATACTGTACCTCCGACGAATAATATTCCCACTGGCTTTTTCCCTAAAGGTATTTGTCCTAATAATAATTGAAATTTAAACACGAGTAAAGCGGAGAGAAAAGTTTTCGACCTCATCTGGCAGCTTATATTGATTCCTTGGAGACAGCCCCACTATTTGAACTTATGTATACTTAACATATGAGTCATGTTATTCTTTTAAAATGCAACCTAGAACTAATTGCCGTCCGAAAAAGCTGGGAGGACATCTCACTTGCGAGACTAACTGTAATAAGACAAAAAATCGGAAGAGTATCAGGAAAACTTGAAGGAAGAAAAAGTGTTTCAGGAAAAATGTCTTGCCACTCCCCTCAGTGATGAATAGAGTTTTTAAAGAATGTATGAACCCCAAAGACGATAGGAACAATGACAAAGCGCGGATAATGAAAAGGAAAAAAATCCGAAAGTATTCGAGGATGATTAGGAGCTATATTGTGTCCAGGAGTCTCAACTTTCGGAGATTGAGACTTCTTTGATGCAACCGCAATTTTTACTCACTTAATTTCAAAATTAATTAGTGGCACGGCTGTTAAAATCGTGGGTATTCCTCAAAGCGGACGGTTCCTCGGCTGTGGATCGCAAAGCCACGTTCTTGTGGTCTGATGATCTTTCCGACTTCGCTCGCCGATCGTTCGCCTCAAAAATTTTAGAGAGATCGTATTTTCGACGTACCTTCTACTTTCTCATCTAATCATCCGACCATGTGGAGCAGTTTTTGCTCATGCGTTTGAACGGGATGGGGATATTAGAATGTGTATGGAATGAATTATACAATATAATAATTATTATGTCCTTGACTCTTAAATCTTAAGATGATAACGCATGTTTTGCCTCAAATCAATCAAGCGAATGAACCGTTTCTTAAATTTTGAATGATTCGGAAATGCTGGGCAGTAGCTCGCCCAGAACTCCTGGATACTTTCTTTCTTTCTTTGCACGGGCGCTTTAAAATAAAATTATTTTACTACTACTACACAGAGGTGTAAATGGCCTTCGATGCTAAAGCACCGCTTTAAAATAAACTTATCTTACTACTGCTACTACTACTACATAGTTACGGGAAATAATTTCGGAGGTGACAGTGAAGGATGTCTGTGTACGGATGCTACAAGTGCGCATGACTAGACTTCCTCTCTTGAACTCAATGGTTTCGGTTCCGATACTTAGTTTTGGTTCTGCTAAATATAGCATTTTCCATCGCAAGTAGTTAATTTTTGTTTAATCCCCAAAAATTTACCTTTTTTTATTTTGAGTAGAATCTTCAATTCGACTTTAATCGGATTGTATAATATTACATTGTACCATCGAAGTATTGAGTAAGTACTTTAATTTACGAGGTCCGTTCAATACAGACTTCGAAGTAAAGTCAAAACCGTGTCGCACTGGGGAGTAACTGATGCGGCTGTCCCCACGATTAACCGTACCTTTGGATTCCAAGAAAAACGGATTAGATGCCTACGCGCGCGGGCGCGGGCTATCATCCTCCACAGTCAATACAGACTAGGAATTTTTTTTTAAAAGGTTTTTTTCATCTCTCTCTTTCATCATCTTTAATCATGAAAATCTTTGACAGTCATCACCCCTCAACGACTCAATTCATGATCCCTCCTCATCTCATCACAATTGCAGCAAGCCAAGAGACTTTAACGCTGAGTTAGAAAAATAAACAAGGCAAAGATGATCTCTCTTACAGCTCCCTGATGTACAATATTGTAAAATTATTATAAAGTGCTTATGATCTTCATAGGTACGAAAAGATTTTCCCCGATCATCACGACAGTGACGACGGATCGTGATGAGGGCCCGTCGCAGTTTCTTCATCGGGAAACTTGCTTGTTATGACTCATAAATTTCAGGTGAAGGAACAAAAGCAACCGTATCACAATCTGGCAACTATGTAATTGCGATCATGGAAGATCTATTCGCACCTCCGACAATCATTATATCATCATCATCATGGTTTTTTTTACGAGGCTGCAAAGTAAATATCATATTCGTTACTCTATATCCCATGTTCCTCTTAAATTGGAGTTTAGCAGTTCCTTCTTAACCTTTTGTTGATTACATTTGTTAAACGTAATTGAGCGGAACATTTTTTTAGCGCCACGGACGTACGGACGTGACATCCTCACCCTTCCAAACTTCCGAAATTTTTTTTTTTTTTTTTTTTTTTTTTTTTTTTTTTTTTACTTACACGGAAGTCATACGGGCTCTTTCGTTTAAGTACGCCTAAGTGCGCTGAAAGATTCGAGGCAAGCATCCATGCCCTACATTTCGGACGTTGCTCTATCTTTTTTCTCGAGAATTTGTTTATCTTTCTGCGAGTTTAATCAGGGTTCCTGGCTTGCAGTTGTGTGTACTGATTTCCTTTGTTTTCTTCACTTTTGTTACTTTTTGATCTTTCGTTCTTATCTCTGCATTCGGTAACTCTATCAACCCGTGTTACTCATGTTTCTCTTTATAGAGGAACAATACTTTTGGCGGCCTCAAACCAGAGCAGAGCGTGTCTTGCCATTTTTTTATTGACGATCTCGTTTTGTGTCACGTTGCTGTAGGATTCATAATAGAAAAAAATGTTGGATCTAAATCGCGAGTCTTCAACTACGTGTCTTTTTACAGTGTAGCACATCAACGTTTTGGAAACTTGGGATTTGCGGGTTGCTATTTTGAAGTAGTAGAAAAAAGGCCATCTAATGATCGCTTTGAAGGTCCCTACTAATTTTGTTTTAAAAAATAATGTCTGACCTCTGATGCGCCGGAGTCTTTTAAATATATAGATTACACTGTTAAAAAAAATTAGCTCAGAGCACGACCTATATAAGGAAGTCGCTCGGAAGTCACTCATCGCTCAGGGCCAATTTCCACGGAGTTGAAAATCTCCGACGTAAGTATGGAAATGCTGAGCTAAAGTAACTCAGGCATAAGGACGGGCTGCGTCGCTGGCGACTGCCCTCCCCTTACCCCTGGCATCCGTCTCATACCCCGATCCGTTTCCCCCCTCTCCTCCCCTCCCTCTCCTCCCCTCCCTCTCCTCCCTCCCTCTTCTGCCTTTCCCTTCCACCTGTAACTGCAATGTATGTTCTTTTTTTTTGAAAAGATGTGAAGTTGTACTGCAAATCAAATCATGTTTGAGGATCTTTCGGGCCAATATCCCACAAATTCGGAGCCAAAGTGTTTTTTGAGTTGCAAACACGCGACGGAAAATCAATATTTGTCATAGCTGAACAGCTGTCTCCAGTAATTTCGAAAACGCTTTTAGACAAAGAAAAGTTTTATAGATATTAAGTATTTTGTGAACATAAATTCAGTGTAAGCTTAAAAAATAAATATACACGATAACAGAATTCTAACTTTACTGGACGCCACGCCATACCCATATAATCAGGCTTTGATGCCCAAAAGTATCATACGAGCTAAAAAGAATAAATGACAATTTCGTAGAATTATACTGCAAAATTGTATTCAATATACCTGAGGTTTTTCGGCATACAGTGCCATCTCCAGACGCATAACGAACCTTCACCAAGGAAACTACAGATACTTGACAAGGAAGTACAACTAAAAGCAAATAATCCATTAACGGGAGCAACATGATGGTTTAAAATAGGGAATAATCTAAATAAACTACCATGCACATGCAAATCAACAAGCGATAAGGAATGAAGCGATAAAAGAGAAAGAGATACAATTTTGCAGTATAATGGTACGAAATATGTATTTTTCCTCTTAAACCTAGTTTCATAAAACTGCTGCCCTTACCGGCGTTTTCAAAATTCCTGGAGGTAGGCTATTCTACTAGGACGAATTTTTATTTTCCGTCGTGTTAGGAACTCAGCGAACACTTTGGTATGGGATCCATTGGGTATTATCCTGGAAAGCCTTCAAACAAAATTTAATTTGCTGTACACCTTCACGAGTCGCAACTAATCACTGTTCACGCAAAAGCCACTGGCTGGAGACTGACGCCGTCGCAGTCGTGAATTCCAGAATAAGATTGTAACGGCCAATGCGCGTTGATGATGCGCAGAAAATTATAGCTCTGTTTCTTCTTAAGTATCTTAAATCTGAGTGGAAAGTATCTCTCCCGAGCATATAGCTGTCTTTCCTGGAGTGACACATGCTACAAGGAGCTTCCCATGCCAGAGCGAGCTATCTAACTCACCGCAAAATTTTGTCACTCGATGCTCCAGGCAGGATAGCTCCATGATATTTCACTCAGGCCACTCAGGCCAGAATATTTTTTAACAGTGTACGTATTTCTATTACTGAGTACAGGTATTTAAATGTAGCTTAAAACCCATTAAATTTTACGAACATATTTTTGAAAAAAAAAAACCATCA